TTTGAACTTTTCCTCCCTCCCTCCCTCCCTCTCTCTCTATATATACGGTTTCAAATACAAATCATATCGTTTTTACAATCTAATAAATTGAAATATTTATGAAAATGATAAAAAAATATTTATCATGAATTGAATATTTATAAAAAATAATTAAAGTTCATTTAATTATGAATAAAGCTTTATATTATGAAATAATCAAAATATTTAATAAACCAGATGTTCTTAGAGTAGTAGATGGACAGTTGAAATTGGTTGTATGATTCATAAAACGATTCAAGGACCGTCAGGTTTAGTTTCAAAGGTCAAGCCTAGCTAGAGGAGGGAAGACCCAAACGAAACGAGTTCGTCCTGCTCGTTAACAATACTAAGATGAGTCGGTTTTCCAGATTGCATGCGGGTCATGGGTCTTTTTTGGTATTTTTAGTTGCATGCATGTTTCCCTTAATTGTTGATTACATCTTGAATCAGCTACGCATCATTGGTGCTACGAATGACATGGTTTGTATTTGAAACCCACTTCTATATATAACAGAGAAATCATCAATTCATTTTTCAGCTAACAACTAGTTTATAAGCAAAAACTATCTTATCAAGTAATTTGTCAAATACAGTTAAAAACTTGATTAATATCAATTTTATGAAAAACAATAAATTAATTTTCAAAATTATATATGTATATGTATATATTACCTTATAAATCAAATTTATCAAAAGTCTTAAAAATAATTTTTAACGCACAAAGTACTATACATTTATCCATAAAGTCTTAAAAACAACTCATAATGCATTAAGTACTACTACTTTATGCATTCAGTCTTAAAATCTCTTAATCTACAATTAAAATAACATATAGTATAAGTTACCAATGCACATTATTATCTATTCTTTTCATGTTCCCAAGATATTTTTGACACCTTTCACTCATGTCTTCACCTTCTCATATCTCTATGTCTTCTCCCCATCCCCAATATGAGATTCAAACCGATATTCACCATGAGTTATTAAAAGTTCTCTCATTCAATTGTTTTAGAACTATCGGTTTCGCTCTTGATCTCTTGATTATTTGTTCTTGGTGTAAATCAAACACATTTGTGGAATCGTTTAAATATGTTGGATTTTAAATATATTGGATTTTAAACTGTCATACAATTTTTTTTCATCGATAGACTGTAATTGGAATCATAACTTTTATTTATTTAAATTGTATTAATATGTAAAAACCAAGTGTAACTTATATCATCGTTAAATCTTTTCTAATAAAACCAATGAAACTTCAAAATCGTTAAAATTTACGGCTCCGACCGCATTGCACAGATACACAACTAATATATATCGTGTGTGTGTGTGTATATATATATATATATATATATATATATAGAGTGATCATATGAAAACCGCCCTCATTTGTGTAAACCGTGCAAACCACCTTCATCTGTCGATTTCATTGTTTAATCTTATGAAATTTTTTCATGAAATTTTTTCATATAATACTTTTT